AGTGTTCGTTATTTATTTTTGAGAGAGATGGAGACAGAGCACAAGCAGGAGAGGGGCAGAGAGAGAGGGAGACACGGAATCTGAAACAGGCGCCAGGCTCTGAGAGTGCGATGGGGGGCTCAAACCCATGAACTGGTGAGATCATGACCTGAACCAAAGTTGGACACTTAACCAACTGAGCTACCCAGGCGCCCCAAGACATTTTCTTTTAGAAACATTGATGTGATCATTTGGTGGCAATATTGCCTTGCTATGTGACCTTGGGTAAATTGCTTAATTTTATTGTGATTTAGTTTCCTCACATGTGAAATGGGGATTATAGTATCTAACTTACTTAAGGGTGTTGTGAGGATTAAATAAGTAGTATGCATAAAATGCTTAGAACAGTGCCTAGCATATGGTAAGCATAGTAATCAGTATACAGTATTAGAATAGAATTAGTTTTCATAAATATATGAATGTAAATTGTGAGATAGACATATGTATACTAGCCTGGGAACCAAAGTCCACTGCATAAGATTGAATCTGTATGAAAATATATGTATCTGTCCCAAGTTCAGAACTGATTTGCAAATAGACTTCTGGAATATAATATGCCCAATGGTGTATTGGTAGTTAATCTCCACATAGGAAAATATAATAGTGAGACTGTTAATACTTCTCAAGGAAATAGGGGGACATCTTTTTGTCTTTTATCTTCTGCTGCCCTTATTCTGTATTCTCTTTGTAGAGGGAACATCTATTTGAAAACAAGAAAGTACTTCGTTTTCCTTTTCATAAAATTTTGGTTTATAATGTTTATTTACTTTCAAAAAATATCATATAACATCAAAATTCTTCGAAGAAATAAATATTTCTCTAACTAGAATAATTATTCTCTGAATAATCTAGAGATTATTCATTAACCTCTTTTGATAAAAACACCTTTTAAATGGTAGCAGTAACAGTAATACATTTTAAAACGTCCTTTGTTTCATTGATATTTTTATGTTGCTAAGAATTTTGTTCTCCCATTTTCTTTCTTAGATTGATTTTGGGGAAGTTCTTTTTATTTAAGAATGTCTATTTTTTGGGGGTGCCTGGGTGGCTCGGTTGGTTAAGTGTCCACCTCGGCTCAGGTCATGATCTCATAGTTCATGAGTTCAAGCCCCGTGTCGGGCTCTGTGCTGGCAGCTCAGAGCCTGGAGCCTGCTTCAGATTCTGTGTCTCCCTCTCTCTCTGCCCCATCCCCACACATGCTCTGTCTCTGCCTTAAAAATAAATAAAACATTAAAAAATTTTTAAAAAAAGAATGTCTATTTTTAAAAATTTTTTAAATTTGTTTTTTAATATTAAATGTTTTTATTTATTTTTGAGAGAGACAGCCAGCGTGAGTGGGGGAGGGGCAGAGAGCTAGGGAGACACAGAATCTGAA